GAAGAATTTGCTTCTCTACTGCGCGATGGTGAATTTAGTGGGGCGCAGGGTCGGCTGCAGAAGAGCAGCCGCGTCTCGTTCCATTCTTCTTGCCGTCAAATGCTCTTACTGTGGTGACACGGAATGCGAGGGGGTTCTTCGGGAATGTCGTCAGCATGGTGTACAGGACGTGTCAGGGGTGGAAACTGTTCTCGGGCTTGACTCGACGGTGCCAGATAAGGCGCCCAGGAGCCCCATGGCCACGTCGATGACCTCATCAGCCTCCAGAAAGAGTTCCCCGCGCATCGGTTCTTTTTGCACCCCCCGCCCGCAGAGTCGATCCGGACATGGCGTTTTGTTTTGTATTCAGGATCGGTTGGCCCGCTGTTGCGTCGACGTTCGCCATTGTCTTATTTATCTGGGTAAAATTTTGTATGTTTTGGGGCGGGGCTCTGGCGGGCTCTCGGGGCCGGCGGGTGTGCGTTGCCCAATGTCGACGCGGGCGTCGCGCGCTGCCGGCAGCAGTTGATCCGTCTGAAGTCGTCTCCCTTCTCCTTGATGTCGGTCGCGAGTGTCCTGCTCGGGGACTTGCATTTTGTGCTCGGTGATGAAGGTCGCTTTCAGGCGCAGCAAGGCGCGTTCGCTCGAGGGGGCGCAGCGCGCGACAGGGAAAGGAGCTCGCTTTTCGGGGATTGGACTGCGCTGTGTCAGCCGCAGGATACTCGGCGGGCTTGTCAGGGGCCTTGTGTGCGCGGCTAGGCTGGATAGAGTACATGCCAGTCTGCGTCCCTCAGTCTTGAATGACTGCGTCATGACTGGATCTTCAATTGGCATGCCCATGAATCTCAAGAACCCGTCGGATCACGTCTCGGTGGTCGCCACGATCTCGCCTGAACCTCGCCCTGGACCTGGCCCCCCCCCGTGCCCGCCTGGGCCCCTCGCGCCGCTGAGTGCCGGGGCGTCCTTGCGGGGCTGCTCAATGCGCGAGAAGCGCCATCGCCCCTCTTGGTTCGGCTGGAGCGCGCCAAGGTGGCCATGTACGATGCTCGCACAGAGTTTCAGAAGGTCTGCGCTGTCGTGAGGCCGCGTCAACTCACGAGTATGTACGTTGGAGTGTCTCTGCCTTGAGGGCGTTCCGTGCGGGTCCATCCTCGCGCTGCCTTGTGATCCGTGCTCCCCGTGCTTATCCTGCTCTCTCCGCTTTTCCTGACGTCGACGCTGGCGCTGTCCCTGGCGCCGCTGGCCGATTTGCCCGCGTTGCTTTCCGTAGCAGTTTTCTATTGGATAAGGGGGAAGAGAGCGACGGACTTGCCCGATCATGAAGTGCAGAGACGGCGTGCGCACGTGCAACGCAATCGTGGGCGGTGGTGCTCGCTGAACATGACGATTCGGCTTGGCAGTCTTCCGAGTGAAAGCATTTGTGTTGCGCGCGCGTCGTTGCGGCGCGCTGGGCAGGAGCATGCTCGGCATTGGGTTTCTGTGCTCGCTGAGATTGAGCCTGATCGCGCACTTTGGACCTCCCTGGGACCGTTCATCCAGAGAGCTTCGGACGTTTTTCTTGATTTGGTGTGAAACCTGGATCGTGAGGAGTTTGCTCCGCTGGTTCAGTCGGTGGGTGGCTCTATGCCTGGTGTCGAAGGGTTGCCGTGTGGTCGCTGGAAGATCCCGGAAGCTCGGGAGGCTTTGTATTTGCATCATCTGCATTGCAGTGCTCACCCCGAAGGCCCCCGCCCTTCCGACTTTCATAAGATGCATGTGTTGTTCTTGGCTACAGGGGGTCACCCCGCCGATTCATCTGCCGCGCTCCATCTAGGGATCCGTCCGGCACACGTTCACTCTCTATGGGTTGCACTGATTGTAAGTTGGGGACAGCTGCTATTGCTCGTCCTCTCTCTCTGCCTGATAAGCGCTCTATCTTGGGCAGTCAGACGGGTAGAGCCTCGGGGCGATCGGCTTTGGAACACATCATCGAATGCGAGGGTCATGGGGTCCTGGAAGCGATCGAAGGGCGCGGCGTGGCAGCTCAGCTCCTCGGATTTCAGAGCAGTTTTCCCAAGTCTGATCGTCGCCTGGCTTCTCTTCGTCTTAAGCGAGATGGGCATTCGGCAATGTGCCACTCAGTTTTCCTTTCACTGTGCGATGATGACGTCGCGATGCCTCCCTTCGGAGGAGCGGTGTTAGCCTCGTTTTCAGTTGGGCGGGGTGTTCGCCAGGGATGCCCTGCATCGATGTAGCTGTTTGCGGCGTCTCTGGGCCCAGTCTGTAGATGGCTATGCGCTGCTACTCCTAGATGGTTCAGGCTCTCAGGGTATGCCGACGACCCCAGGTTTTTTTTGGCAAACTGTTTCACCGATTTGGCTCCGCTGTATAACAAGCAATGTAAGTTGTCGGCGGCTGTGGGGCTTGCGCTGCACTGTGGGAATTGTGTTGTCTTGGTCTGCTGCCCGACTCAGATGCAGCGGTCGACGTCCCACTTAATTGCGCTAGGACATGGTTGCAACTTCTTCTCGGTGGTGAAGTTGTGCAGTTATCGGGAAATTAGTGTGGGCCCCGAGGCGCTGTTGAACTCGTGCCCCGCCCAGGTTGACATTCTTTCGTCGGGCTCGCAAATGAGAATAGTGGGGGATGGGTTGGCTGAGCTCGTCGTGGCGTGTAACGTCCGAGCGATCTCAGTGCTGAGCCATGTGCTTCAGTTTCATCGTCCTACCAGTCGTCTTGCAACCCGAGTGCAGAGCCCTTCAGTTCTTGCGCGCGGGGCCCATATTCAGTTGCGCAGGAGGCCTGACGAGGGCGCTGAAGGCGGTTTGTTGTAATGTTCAGTGCATTATTTCGGCTTCGATGTCCATCAGGGCTGCAGCGTGCAGGATCGCTCGGGACTCAAAAGCTTGGAGGCGCTCCCGGGAGAACCTTGGGACCATATTGAGTGACTCATGTGACCTCATCCCCGCGAGGCTGCAGAAAGGATGGTGGCATGCTGATTCCTTCCTGTCTTGTATGTTGGTTAACTACTTTCAGCTCCTGCCCAAGGCCCGTCTGATTAACCTGACGGCCCCGTTTCTGGTGTCCCAAGCGAAGCGCGCGGCTGCCCAGGGAAGTGACGTGGGCTCCGCGCGTATGCAGGCTGGCATCGGGCGACGAGTTCTAATATGCATGCCCCCCCTCCCTGCTCATGTCTGGTTTCCTGTGCTAGCTAGGAGGCTTCGTTCAGTTTGTATTTCGGTCTCTATGTTTTTAATGGTTGCCGTGCTTAGAACCCTCCGTCGGGGACTCTGGGCCTCCGCCAGGTTCCACGCTCGTCCGGGGCCCTGTCTCTGTGGCTGCCTGGAGGCCAGAGACGACCAGTGCGATTATTTACGCTGCCCGAGAGTTTCCGCTCTCTTCTCCTCCTGGGCCCCCCCTCTCTTCCCGTTCGGTTTTGCCGACCTGTTCGTGGCGCTCTGCTGCGTTGGCGGTCGGGTCTCGATGAGGTCAAGGATCTCGCGCTGCGCGCTCTGCTGGAGTGTTGCGCGCGCGCTCTCTCACAAGTGAGGGTCGCCGCCGCGCCTCTGGGGGCCTCTCCTGGACAGATCTGTGAGGGCCGCCGTCGGCTGCTTATGTGGCGTCACCCTGAGATCAGAGTGGCCCTGCGAACGATCAGGGATTCATAGCTCTCTGTTTCTTTTCTGTCCGTGCTGTGGTCAGGGCCCGTGCTGGCTGCGTCGCTCGTCTCTCCCCCTTTCTTGCTGCCGTTCCCCCGTCGTGCCGCCGCCGCTGCCGCGGCTGCTGCTTGGTCTGTTGCCGCCGCTGCTTCCGCTTCTTTTTGCCGCCCTCTCTCTGGGCGTGGCGGCGACCAGGTCCGCCCTGCCGCCTCGGCCCCCTTCGCCTCTCTCACGCCTGTCTGCTCGTTCGGTTCCGCTCGGCGAATCCGCCAGTCATTGCGACGCCCTCTTGTGAGGCGCGCCTGATGCGGCTGGGGCGTGGTTGCTCTGTCTTGCTTCTTCTGTTCCTGCCTGCCCGTGCTCCCGCGCCAGGTCGGTGCCCGTGCAAGCCGCGTCTCCGCCCGCGCTGTCTCTGGCCGCCCGTCTTTCTCCTGGGTGGCAGGCCTGGCCGCGCGGTCTCGGCTGCGATCGATCGATCGCCTCCTGCCTCCCCGATTTTTGCGCGCTCGGTGTTCTGCCGCGGAACTTCTCCAGTGGGTCTATCAGTGTAGTCGCGCTTGGGCGCGGTGCTGACTGGCTGTTTATGGATTGGCAGTTGAATTGTTCCGTCATCCAGGTGTTGCGAAAGGGGGCTAATGATCAGTCTTATTATCCTTAGTAGCGTTATGAATATTGTTATCATTTTTTGCATCGTTATCGTCACCATCACCATCACCATCGCCTTCATCATCGTCATCATCATCATCACCATCATCATGATCATCATCGACATCATGATCATGACCGTCGTCATCATCATCATCACCATCATCATCATCATCATCATCATCATCATCACCATCATTCTCAGCATCATCATCATCATCATCAGCATCATCATCATCATCATCATCATCATCATCATCATCATCATCATCATCATCATCATCACCAGCATCATCATCATTAGCATCATCATCATCACCATCTTCATCAGCGTCGCCGTCATAACCATCATCATCAGCAACATCAGCATCATAACCATCAACATCGCCATCATCAACACAGCTCACATGTGGGCGCCACCCCGTTCCGGCACACCCCTCACACGTTTCGTGGCCCCATATCGGGTGTTGCTAGAAGTGCCCCTGGGCCAAGGTGCCCCACGGATTTTCGGGGTAGCCCAAACGGCCTCCAATACACCCCTCACGAGGCCCAGAGGGCCCCAGGGGCTCCAAAATGGAGCGAAAAGCTGGGCGCACCTTGGGCCAGGGGTACTTCTAGCAACACCCGACCATAAGGAGCTCCAATAAAGGTCCCATTGGCGCAGCCCGCATATGGGCGCCACCCCCGTTTCGGCACACCCCTCACGCGTTTCGTGGCTTCATAGGGAGCCCCGCCTAA